AGATAGATAGATAGATAGATAGATAGATAGATAGATAGATAGATAGATAGATAGATAGATAGATAGATAGATAGATAGATAGATAGATAGATAGATAGATAGATAGATAGATAGATAGATAGATAGATAGATAGATAGATAGATATAGATAGATAGATAGATAGATAGATATAGATAGATATAGATAGATAGATAGATATAGATAGATATAGATAGATATAGATAGATATACATATTTGGCCACCCCGATTATTTGAGGAAATTGTTTTCTATTTTTTACAATGTTTAAATGTATAGTTTCCTCAAATGATTGGGGTGGCTGAAAATTAATCAAAGGTGGCCACCATTGGCCACCCCCTGGCTCCGCCATTGCACCTGCTGGTTGTTAAATTTGCTCCTTCCACTCACCAGTATCTGTCACTCTCCGCTGCCACAGACAAAAAAAAAACTTCTGTTTTTATAAACAGTGCATCTCCTGCCCACTTGAATATTTTGCAGCAAAAATGTTAAACATTTACTTCCATTCCCTGTTCAGCTCCAGTCCAGAAAAACACTCTATCTTGAAAACTACCGGTACAAGCATCACTATTCAGATCCTTCCGCGATGAGGGACACTGGTGTATCGTTTCTTTTGTTTAACCTTTGTTTTGCGTTTTAGATGGGCAAAGTTGGACCTGACCGGGCATTGCCCTCAGAATTGCTCATCAAGCTGGCCAGTGTAGTGAGTGATTCCATTAAACAATACGTTAAACCTTGCTTCCTGCTAACTTCCTGGTGTTTAACCCACTCTGATCAGTCAGGATTTGATCACCGCTGCCTCAAAATTCTGCCTCTTTGTAAAGATCTGCACTTTTTTTGTTGCTGTTTTCTTTTTTCTCCTCTCAACTCATTAATCTTGGTTATTATTTCATTAAAGTCTGTGTTATTAGATGGGGATCTGAGGAATGTGTCTGTTTGTGGCTGTGTGCAGCAGGGGGTAGATGAAAGTGGACTGGGAGCTCAGAGACACTGACTCACTCCCCGGGATGGCTCACAAAAACAACTGGATAAAAATAGAAGAAGCAGATGGAAAGAAGACAGAGGACAGACAGAACATGAGATGAAGGGAGACTGGTGGACAGACAGGCACAACAAGCAGACCAGCAGACAGGCGGGACTGAACGGTTGGCAGGAAATCGATCGGCTCAGGCCGAAGGTGAAATCTTATCAGGGAGGAGAAGGAGGAGAATACATGAGAAATGTAAATACTGAGAAAGAAACAGAAAGGAAGAGGAACAAAAATACCTGTGGTTGAAAAGTATACAGTATAACAAATGGAATATAAGCAATACCACAGATATGATGCAAGAAAAAAAAAAAAAAAAAATTATAGCAAATAATGTAGTCTTTTTTATCAGGTTATAATTATTTTGAATTAGTCACCTCTCCCTTAGTTTGTTTCATTAAAGAGGTGGACAAACAGGAGGAGAAAATGTGTCACTGAGTAGAGAATTGTAAAATGATACAAGTAGAACTCCCAACACATAAAAAATAAAGTTTGTCACAAATAAGACAAAAAGTAGCTTCAGATTTTGACCAAAATGCAGCAGCAAACACTTCACAAGAGCTGATCCAGTCTTACATCAACAGAAAACTGCTGCAATAAGTCAACTTTGTACTTAAAGGTGAAAAATGGATGAATATTTCTCAGTTTCGTTTATTTGTTTGTCTGACTTATTTGTTGTAAGATTTCTTGCAGCCTTCTTCTCAACTTCTGTCTATCATCAGGTGGCTCCAAAACGCAGAGTCAGACAACGCAGGAGAAAACTCTGAGTGGGGAAACTAAAACTTTGATTAATAAACAAAACAAACATTCACAGTGTTGTTGTGCAGAAGGGCAAGAAGAACAAAAAACCACAAGAAACAGAACAACAAACTGATGAAGTAATGAGAAAAGAGAGTACGAACACGGAGGGGTGATTAGCAAGTGACTGCAGCTGGTAAACAACGGGCAAGTGAGTGATGAGGAGCAGGAAACAGAACCAACTAAATGGAAACAATGTCAAATGACAGCTGAAGACAACGCATATCTGAATAAAACAAGAAAAACGAGTTTGCAGCAATTTGTTGAAGCTAAAACTGAATTGTTAAATTTAAATCAAGCAGAGAACAAGCTCTAATTAGCTAAACCATAGCTTATAGATGAAATTAACAAAGTAAGAGCTAAAAGCTAACATTGACAAAAGAGTAACTACAATTTGCAAAACTGTAGCTAAAATGAACAGAACGGTAGTCAAATGGAAAAAGTAAATAAATGGTAACCGGACACTAAAAGTAGGAAAACGCTAGCTAAAAGCTAAAAGTAGTACATTATTATTTTAGTTATTATAAACAGTTAAATATTTAGAAAGTATAATAAAAGCAAAGATCAAAGCACCCATCCCCTAAATGAGCTGAATATAAAAAAATGGACTTTTGAAATAGCACAAAGTATGCAGAGATAGCTTGACTGCAAAAAAAAACTTAAAGAAGAAACTGTAAGAAATTATAAATATGTCAAAAAACAAACACAAACCCCACAGGTTTAAGACACTTATTGGCTGTTTGCGTCTGCAAAAGGAAACGATACAAACCAAAGAGCAAACAAATAATAAATTTACTCAAACCTTTTTAAATGTTTAAGACAAAAAGGCTGAATAAAGAAGACCGGTCTGGTCCTCACAGTAAATAAAAATAAGTAAATATAAAGTTTTTAAGTAACCAACATGAGAGTTTTGTGTTGAGCAATATTAATGCCTAAAGAAAAGAAGCTAAATCAGTGTTTTGTTTAAAAAAAAAAAAAAAACATGTTCAGTTTTACTTTCACTTGGGTAATTATTCAGATTTAAACACATCTGCTGTTTCCTCCTCCTGCAGGTGTAAAAACGTCCTCATAGAAAACTAACTTCACGACCCTGACTGATGAATAACTGCTCGGCTCATTGATGCAAACACTGCTAGTCTCTGGAGACTCCTTTCCACTTATTAACGTAGCGCCTACTGCTGCAGGACCTCCTCGTAGTCTCAGAGTGACTCAGCAGTTTAGGAGTTGAACTTTCTCTGCACGGGACTCAGGAGGCGGGAAGCATTTTTAGGTTCAAACACTGACTGGATAAAGGCTGGTTTACACTTCATAAGTGCTGAAACTGTGCCTTGCTGACGTACCGTATTTTCTGGCATATAAGTCGCTCCGGAGTATAAGTCGCTCAAGTCGCACAAGTCAAAAAAAGAGAAATGAAGAGGAAAAAAAACATATAAGTCGCTTCGGCGTGTAAGTCTCATTTATTATGCGTTACCACTGACCCGTCACGTTTATTATGCATTTATTTAATAGTCAAAACAGCTTCATTTTGCCTGGGTGGCACGGTGCCATCCATCCATCCATCATGGCCGGAGCCGCTAGCTCTCCAGCGTTCTTCCGCCTGCACCAGCTGAGTGAAGCAAAAGCGCACGGGAGGACTCACTGTTGCAGTTCTTAGAAATTTAAAGAGTCAGTCAAAAATTGCATTATGAATGTGGAAAATAAACGTATATAAGTTGCTTCAGCGTATAAGTCACAGGACAGGTCTATGCAAATAAACTGTGACTTTTATGCCAGAAAATATGGTGGCTGCTTGATTAAAATTGCATGTTTTTTTTCTTCTCTCTCCAGCTCCAATTACCAATTTTATGCACAACCCTCCATCAAAAGAAGTATTGTCTTGTAGGACATGCACCAAGTGTTGTGTGGTTGGTCAGAACTCCGTGGGTGTGTTTATGTGGAAAGGTGTAAGGACAAGTTCCTGAACTGTCTGTTGGAAACGTTGGTGGTCTCTTTTTAGTGACAAATTTACAAAAATAGCACTTCTCCTTGGTTAACAGCAGAAATACCAGATGTTCCTCCTCCAACTTCTCCATTATCAAATAATCAGTTGTCTTACCTTTAGTGTACCATGTAGTTTCCATGATAACTACCAGCGCATCATTAGAAAGATAACATTAAAAACATGTTGAACAAAAGAGTCCAAATTTACACAACTGTTTTTTTCTGTTTATATTTTCTACTTATTTTCAAAGTACCTGTAATTTTTTTTCTACAGACTCTGTTCTATTTTATTTTTTCACATACAAAAACGTTTAGCTCATTCAGGAGATGGGCGCTGTACATTTTATTATTTGTAATTTTTATACTTGTTGCATTGTTTACCTTTATTACACAGCTATACTCTATAGGAAACATTAATATCGCTTAAGATTGTTTGAAAAAAAAATCGTTTTCTTTGGTATCTGTTCCAGCAGACTGATTTGATTGAATAATTGAATGATCCCATTTTTACCGGAGTATCTTTTTACTACATGTTGGGCTCTGAGCAGCCCAAGTTAACGTGGGATTTAAAACAAACATATAAGATGTTTATTCATATATAGAGAGAGCGAAAGACCAGTTTGATCGTTCACCAAACGGAATGATGGAGAGGTAAACTGTTGTCCTACGAGACATTAACCTTATTCTTTACCAACCAGAGTCAAGTGCCGACACCCTGTACCTTCTGAGCACTAACCGGGATTAACCAGTTGCTGTTGTGCAGTCACTATCCACTTTTCTCTCATGGCCACAGATTATTAACCTTGGATCTGTGGTCACAGCCTTTCCAAACCAGGAAGTTAATTTTCTGCCTGCTGCCTTTCATGGACCGACTCATGTCTTAGCATTACTTATAGCACTTTTCCAGTCTGCAGAAAAACAATTAGCACCCAGTAATATCTTAATGAGAAGAGCTATCTTACACACTGTAAACGCTGACTCTAACTGACCTCTGACCTCATGGTATTTATCCCCTAAACACTCAACACTGTCCCATGTCGGGTAAAAGCCACTAAAGCATGTTTATTAGCTGAGACATATTGTGTGTGCTGTATTTGAGAAACACCGACCTGTGCGCTGGCGTTGGAGTCATTCAGGGCTCTCTGCAGGGCATGACTCAGTCCTTTTGATAGGTTCTGTTTCAGGATCAGGTCCAGACGGTTTCTGCGTAGCTCAATAGACAAAACTGTGGAGGTAAAAAAAAAAAAAAAAGTCAAAAGGAGCCCAATGATGATAGGCATAAAGAGATAGGAACTGTTCCTCTAATATTAGTGGTGTTGTGTGCTGTCAGTATCTTACCTGCAGTGGATATTAATTATAGGGGTTTAATTTTGGAGAATCTGAGATTCTCACATAGATGTGACACCAACTGACTTTCAAAAGACAAATTAATTTATGTTGTTTAGATAAACGTTTTGTGATTTTTTTTAGATTAAATTGCTTGAATTAAATAGTTAATTTAACTTAATATAATCTATACTGTCAATTTACTGCCCCCTCTCTTGTATATGAGTCCTCGAGGCTCAATGGGATTAACCTGTCTAAATAAAGGTTGAATGAAAATTTTGTAGCCCAGCCTTGCCTGCACAACCAACCACAAATTGTGTTCTTATTATGGATCTAATGGTCCCAATGGACAATCTATGGTGTAAAGCTGATGCAAAATAAACACAGTATAATAAATACAGTCCTATAAATCTATCACCTGAAACTCTATAAAGGATTTGAGGTTTGACTAAAGATGGCACAAATTGGCTCCTAAATGGACCCTACTCAGAGTAAATGTCACCTTAACTCCTCAGTGGCATCTTCTCTCTGGTTTTCCATCAATCTGACTGTTTTCTAATGCAGGTAAGATACTAAATGCTCATAACTACTTCAGACAACCCCTCTTTTAATAATCTTAGCTATCTCGTTAATAATTAGTTGGTCTCAACTTTCCAACTTTTATTTCTAACGTCTAAATGTATCTTCAATTTTCTGAAGTTGTTCTAGAACTTCTAGAGATGACAATAATGTCTCATACCCGTTTTGACCCAGAACCTCTCGGTCACGTTGCAGGGTAGATGAATGTCCTCTGCGCTGGTGGTGGAGAGGGTGTGTGCGGTTGTTGTCAGAGGGGGTGTAGTTTGGACTGGGATGAACACAGTGGTGTCCGGTGCTTTAGTTGTGGTGGTGGTAGTTGTTGTGGTTGTAGTAGGGGCAGCAGTAGAAGTAGTTGATGCAGTGGTGGTGGTAGTAGTCGGAGCTGGAGTGGTAGTTGTAGTGGTTGTGGTGGTTGTGGTTGGGGGAGCGGTTGTCATGGGGGTGGTAGTGGGGCTGAATGTAGTTGTAGAGGTTGTTGTTGTTGTTGTGGGTGGAGCTGTAGTCGTTGTAGCGTTGAGGCTTGTCGTTTCCTGCGTGGTCGCAGGAGCAGTTGTGGCGTTTGACGGTGAAGCTACGGCGCTCCCCGTGATTGGCGCCTGCGTCGTCATCTCTGCGCTCACAACAGTAGACGTGGTTGTCGAGGGTGTTGTCATGGTTGCAGTCGTCAGCTTCAGGCTGTCGCTCGTCGCAGTGTCCTCGCTCGTGTTTTGCGACGCTGTGGTGGATTCTGTTGGCGTCTGTGTTCCTGCGGTGGTGGGGAACGGTACCGTCGAAGTGGCGGTCGGGGTCACTGTGGTGGTCGGGGTCACTGTGGTTGTGTCCTGCGAGGTGTTTTTGAGGCGGACAGGCATGGTGGTGTTCCACTGATGGGTGGAGAAAGGGCTGGTGATGTTGGCGGGAAGCGTGATGTCGTGGTCGCCCACTGTGGACAACAGGGATTCAGGTACAGTGGGTAGATCCCAGGCTGGGAGGCTGCTCACAGATTCCTCTGCAAGGAGTGAAAAACAAGCAAACTTGTGTTAATTATTGATTAAATAGTCATAAAAACTGAAACGTTTACTATACATGTGCTGCTGTTTTAGTCCGTTTTTTCTACATTTGCTGATAAAATTATACAGATTTAACCTTTCAGATACAATTTATACCTTTACTATGGAAGGTAAGATTGATTTTAACAACCATTATTAATGTTGATGTAATTTTCTTTACATCATGAGTTGACTGTTCAGTTATCTCAAGATAGCCAGGCTACTTTTTGTTTATCTCACAAATATGGATATGGTGCAAAGGAGAAATGTTCAGGAAAGGTTGGTTTGAACTAAGATTTCACCTTCCCAACATACACAATGATTTCTTTTGGCTGCTCCATTCTGCAGGGTCACCGCATCGCACAAACTCATGGTTAACAAAAGCTCTAACAACCCTCAGGGGGGAGGGGAAGCAGAGTGATTTAAGCTACTGTACATGTAATATCGCACAAAAAAAAGATGCTAATTACACAATTTAAAAAGCCTGAAACTGCTCTGCACTTTTACGTTTGAACTGAGAAAAAAAAAAACAGTTGTCTTTTAAGAGCTCATATTTTGCACCAACATACAAGCTTCTCAAAGTCTAAATAAATAAATATATTAAGCTGTTATTTTTTTTAAAAAAGCATTATTATCTCAATATAATTACCGTATATAAATAACTTGTCCTATAGATAAAAGGTCATAGACTTCTAAATATGTCCCTTCTCAGCTTCCATACTGTCTTTATTCCAAGTGTTTCATAGTTTTATTTCTCCTTCATCCACTAGTCTTTACTATATTAGATCAAATATACACCAACAGTCTTTGGCAAATATTCTCTGGCTTCTTCTTTGTTAGTTAGTCAAACACTAAACTTAAGATCAAACAAATGTCAACAAAACTAAGTTATTGCAACTTGTGTCACAACTTTTTTAACTTGTGGGTCATTTTTTTCAGTAATTTTTTTTTTGTTGTTGTTGAAGTCAAACAAAGCCTGATGTTTTTCCACTTGTCCTTCCTTCAGGTCAGTGCAGCACCAAGCAGGAGAGCAAAGACAACAATAATCTCAAGTGATAAAAAGAATATGATGATGAGCTGCTCACAAATGTATTGAACCAAAACTGGCAAACAAATTCTGATTTTTTTACATTTTACTAAATAAAATCTTCAATGATTCCTTGTTGTTTTCCATCCTTCAGACTCATCTGCTTTGTGCTTAAATCTTCCTCGCCTGCATCCACGTCCCTTTATTCCAGGTCTACTGGTCTGCAGGTCTACAAGTCTTCACTCCAGGTCTAAAGGTCTGCAGGCCTACAGGTCTGCAGGCCTACAGGTCTGCAGGTCTACAGGTATGTAGGTCTGCAGGTCTGCAGGTCTACAGGTTTGCAGGCCTACAGGTCTGTAGGTCTACAAATCTGCAGGTCTACAGGTCTGTAGGTCTACAGGTTTGCAGGCCTACAGGTCTGCAGGTCTACAGGTATGTAGGTCTGCAGGTCTGCAGGTCTACAGGTTTGCAGGCCTACAGGTCTGTAGGTCTACAAATCTGCAGGTCTACAGGTCTGTAGGTCTACAGGTTTGCAGGCCTACAGGTCTGTAGGTCTACAAATCTGCAGGTCTACAGGTCTGTAGGTCTACAAATCTGCAGTTCTACATGTCTGTAGGTCTACAGGTATGTAGGTCTGCAGGTCTGCAGGTCTACAGGTTTGCAGGCCTACAGGTCTGTAGGTCTACAAATCTGCAGGTCTACAGGTCTGCAGGTCTACAGGTCTGCAGGCCTACAGGTCTACAAATCTGCAGGTCTACAGGTCTGCAGGCCTACAGGTCTGCAGGTCTACAGGTCTGCAGGTCTACAGGTATGTAGGTCTGCAGGTCTGCAGGTCTACAGGTTTGCAGGCCTACAGGTCTGTAGGTCTACAGATCTGCAGGTCTACAGGTCTGTAGGTCTGCAGGTCTGCAGGTCTACAGGTCTGCAGGCCTACAGGTCTGTAGGTCTACAAATCTGCAGGTCTACAGGTCTGTAGGTCTACAGGTCTACAGGTCTGCAGGTCTACAGGTCTGCAGGTCTACAGGTCTACAGATCTGCAGGCCTACAGGTCTGTAGGTCTACATATCTGCAGGTCTTCAGTCAGCTTCACGCCGTTCCAACTGCAGCTGAACTCCTTCAGCTCCTGTGTCAGCTCCGTTTGCACACCCAGCTACTGTTTTACAGCTGCGTGCTTCAGCTGCAGCCACACATTTTTCACCTCCATTGCTGTTGCTACATTCACTAATTTTAAAACAAATTTTCATCCAACAGTTTGTCACTGACTCCAATCCAGATCAGATCTTAATAATTTAACAATAAACCTCAGGACAGTGTCCTGCTCAGAAAATGTCTCATGATGCTTCTTCCACAAATCCAGGGCTAATCCAACAGAAAAATGCTATACCCTAGTTAGTTTTGCAGATAATTGAGCTCATATCTGATGAGGAGGTAGCTGAGAGTCAGCTACAACACATCTTGCAATATTGCATCAAATTATGCTTAAGACCAAAACGGTTACAACTTTGTCATTTCCATCTTACAGTGAGATGATCTCAGTCTAAACTCTGGCATTAAAGGCAGTGGACGACATGTCGTCCTTCAAGTAACATTAAGCCTTTAATATCTTTACATTTTTTAAGCTAGAAATTGGAGTTTTCTGTCTATCAAATTGACACCTTGTTGCTAACGCACTAAACAAACAACACCATATAAAAAGATGCATTTTGAATGTGCTTAATGTAAAAAACATAATTGTATTTAATGAAGCAGATCAATAAAAGAAACAGTTTGGTTTATAAAGACTATAAAACTGTTAAAAACTGCAAGGGCTCAGTTGTCAGTTTTTCATTATAAAGTAGGAAGGAAGAAAGCTCAAAGGTTTGTTTCTAACCAGACAAAATCAAAAAGCACAGCAGTCTTATTTAATGTTTTGACCCCAGAGGAATGTTAATGTCAAGGTGTGTTCAATCCCTCTGCCATCTAATATGAAATGCATGAAGGAGGAAATCAATCCTTCCAGCTGGAGCTCCACATTCAGTCTCATCCTCCCTGAGCATCCCCAAGGAATTCAAACATCAGCTTTCTGATCAGATATGAAACACTCAACAGGAAGAGTTACCTTGTTGATGATGTTACTGTGAGATGTAGCAGTGATGGTGAAATGGAGGATGAGGAGGACAACAAAGATGATGATGAAGACGATGAACGATAAAGGTGATGACAAAACGATGATGATGGGATAAAGCAGATGATGGTAGTTTATGACGCCATGATGATAAAGAGGCTGGAAACAGCTGGATGACAGTCAAGAAAAAAAAATAATTACAAGCAGTTTTACCACAGAAAGGCAGTAAATCTCTTAAAAGAACTCATCATTCATGTTGCACTAATATGGATTAGAGAAAATCAGCTGATGTGAGTAAAGTTTGCTCAAACATGGACTATGAGTGCATAATTAGGCAGTAGTTAGTCTGAAAAAAGTCAAAACAGATTTAAAAAATGACAATTTCAGAGCAATGAAAGAATTCCCAATCATGGCTCATGTTTTTAGAGAAAACAGGCTTTATGGTACCAGTATATTACTAGCTGATTTATCATTTGAGCGCTGTCAAATGATGTTGAATAAATATGGTTTAAATGCAAGCGAGGATGATAGTGTCTGAAAAGCAGCAGAGCTGTATTTTGTTGGAGATGTGTATTCAAACGTGCAGAGAATTCTGTCCAATTTTGCTAATTTTGCTAAAGGTTTGTGCAAATTTCTTATTCAATAAAGCAAAAATCTGTATATTTTCTTGCTATTTTTTGTCTCCAACTCGTAACAGTACAAAGAGATACACTTGTATATCATCATTTTTAGTGGAAACACTACATGGTGCGTTTATGGTTGAAGAAAAACAAAATAAATGGACAATAAATTAAATAATAATTATAAATTAAATATAGATTGTTGAACAAACCAGCAACAGATCAGTGCCGTCAAAGTCTGCGAGAAAAGCTCATTCATTTCATGATTTTTGTCTTGATTGTGTTGCTGCTCAGGCAGAAACATTTGATCTCCAATAAAGCAACTTTCCAGGAAATTAAAAACAAAATCTTTCTTTTCAGTTAGCAGACTTTATTAGACGTAACGAGCCAACAAATTCAGGCCACCTTCATAAACCTGTTTGCAAACTACAAACTTATGCTAACTAGTTCAACCAAAACTAATAAACTTTACACTGAAATCAATATCCTGTCAGGGTGATTAAGTAAAAAGAACATTTGAAGGCAAAGATAAATGTACCTGTCTGATTTACCTGTCTAAATAAAGGTTGAATGAATGAATGAAAAAATGACTGCTTTGTATTTTATTTAGAGGAAGGTTTTGTTTTAGAGTTGTTGTTTTTTTGGCAGTGGGTTTATGTTGATTTATACCAAAGAATAATTTGCAGTTTGCTAAAAAGCAGCACACCAACTCACCTGTTTCTTGCACTTTTGCCTCCTGAATATTTGTCTTTTAGGAGAGTTAAGTTTTTAAAACTTCATGTAAATAGAGCATGGATTTTATTTTTTAAACAAGCACATTCTCAGCCAGTGGGAATCAAAGATGTGAGGATCTGTGCAACATTAGAGCTGATAATTATCGATAAAGTGTTTATTATTTTGTTATATCATATTTCTTTATGAATAAAAAGCTAACACGTACCAAAACTGTTGTTGTCGGAGGCGTTGTTGTTCCCAAGAACCACAGAAACATTGGCTGTTGTTGCTACACGACTGGATGGAGAGGAGGAAGAGGAGGCCACAGAGGATGCTTTTGTTGTGGAGGAGGATCCGGCCTTGGATGATGAAGACATGGTTTTGGTCCAAGCAGCTTTGGACAGCAGCCCTAAAGGTTTCCTAACCGTTGGAGTCTGCAGCTCTGCCGTCTCTGTCAGCGCAGTCAGAACCGATGAGAAGACCTCCTCTCTCCGAACCTCTCCTCCCTGCTCCTGCCCCAGCATGGGAGTCAGGTCTCCGAGGACCCCCTCCTCTGCATCGACAGGCCTCCAGCCTGCTTGGGCCCAAGCATGAGTTTCTGTCATGATCCCCGTCTCTGCAAAGACTTTCCCACCTGCCCCGGCTTCTGTTTCTGTCCAGACGGCCGTTCTCGCCTCGGCGAACACTTTACCCTCGGGCCAAGGTCTGAGTTCAGCATCAGGACCAACAGCAGGGGCGGCGGCATCTTTAACCTGAGCTCTGGCTCTGAGCTGAAGAGGCGCAGTGAGGTTGGGGGGCACCGTAGGGTCCCGAGGTGAGTCAGCCTGCTGAGCTGATGTGTAATGATCTTCCTTGGCTGTGGAGGAAAGGAAAAGTGGAAATAACATTTAATTGGAAAGTGTGGACAGCAACAAGATGGTGGGCAGTTTGACTCATCGGTCTGACAGGCCAGACCATAACATCATATCTACCATACACACACACACACAGCTGGAAACCTCAGATCATTTGTTCTCATTAGGCCACTGCAACTGCTCAGGGGTTTAACCTGCTCTGACTTTGACCAGACTCCTGAGGAAAACAGCCGAACAAACAGAGCCTGCAGTTTGTTCCTGCTTCCTTCCTCCACATCACAAATCCAGAGAATTAAAATATTGTGAAGCAGCATTACTGGTGGAAATAGGTCACTTATGTTTTAGAGGATAAAGCATAGGGAATTAATTTTTCAGTTCCAGGATCTGTGAATTAGGACACACACACGCCCTAATCAGCTATGATTTATACTAAACCAGATCCTTTAGGTTAGCCACACAAACTTGTAGATTTATTATTCTGGGAACAAACACGCAAGGCTCAGCTCCTCGCTCAGTCAAAACCGGGGTGGAATATATTTCCCGAGCAGAAAACAGGGGCCGGCTATATTTATAGGTCATCTGAGTCATTTTTCATTGAAACACCAAAAGATACAAGCATTTGAAGCATGTAGGGGAATATTCTGTCACAAAATTTAGCTTCAGCCTTTAGCGGCGATCTGCAAACCGTCTTCATGTTCTGAGAAGAGCCGAACGGTTTGGCAGACGGAGGCGATTAGCTCGTCTAATGCAGTCAATCTCAAAGGCACCTTCCCTCTGAGGAGTTGAGAGAGGAGGAGAAAGCAGCGCTTACTGTCTGACTGGACCACTAGCCGAACCACTAAGTGGCACAAGACTTATTTCAGCCACTCATTTGTCTGAAAGTAAAAAGATTTTAGCTTTAGTGTGACTCTGAGCTAATGGTCCTCACAGAATGGATCCAGAGCAAAATGAAGACTTATCTGGACCCAAATTTATTGTTAAATTTCAGTGAAATATATAGTTTTTCATTATTATTATTCCAGTAATTTATTTCAGGCAATGCACCTTTTCAATCCAATGCACATTCTAGCATTTATGCTAATTAGTTTTAGGTGGTACTGCTTTTCTACAACTTGCGGTACCGTATTTTTCGGACTATAAGGCTCACCAGATTATAAGGCGCAATATCAATGAACGGGTCTGTTTTCATACATAAGGCACACCGCATTATGAGGCGCATTAAGCAAAAAAAGTTAATTTTGACAGGTTTTTGAGCGCCGTGTACCACATAAAATCAGTTCAAGGTCAGTAAGTCCAACCAGAATTAATGCATAAGATGCACCAGATTATAAGGCTCACTGTTGATTTTTGAGAAAATTAAAGGATTTTAAGTGCGCCTTATAGTCTGAAAAATACAGTAATTTGTTTCATAGCGCAGCTTTTCCTGCATTTACTGAAATACTTTTTAGGCCACACATCTTTTCTTTCATTTGCATTATTTATTTTAAGCAGTACAATTTTTATTTGTTTCTATTTGGGGGGGGGGGCAACACAGCTTTTATAGTATTTGCGGAAAATCATTTTAGGCAGTGCAGCTTTTCTACAAGTCATGGTAATTTTGTGTCGTGCATTTACGGTCATTCTTTTTCGATGGCACAGCTTTTCCAGCATTTATGGTAACTCGTTTTCCGCTGCGCAGTTTTTCTAGAATATACGGTAACTCATTATAAGCAGACCAGCTTTAATTGCTTTTGCAATAATCGTTTTAAGGGATTTAAACATACTTCATGTATTCTGGATCTTTGCAGGAGAATTTCTTGAGGCAGACCTCGTTGAATTTTAATTGCAAACCGCTGCTCCGAGCTTCCACGTACATCATCATTACATGGAAGCAAACGCTGCACAACGTGCGTCTGTATTTATTTAAACATATCTATTTATTATAAATTTCAACCCGTGCTCGTTTCAGCTCGCCAAGCCCGTATGTGTGTCACACTTTTCCCACGCTCACCGAGTCTCTGCAGAGGATCGGTTAATTAAAAGACGATGATTCGGAGCTGGAGAGGCTTTGCGGAACAAGCTCAAAGCTTAGCTGCTGCATAACCTCTGGAAACCTTCTATAAAGCATTTTAAACATCACATCATTAACTACCACCACCGAGCAATCTGTCCCTCGTTACACCACGTCATGTCATAAATGTCATTACAGGAGGAATTAATACACCGACGGTTTCTGCTGGAGCTTTTGTGAGCTCAGAGTTTGTGTTTATGAGTCACTTTCAAGGAGGAGAAAAAAAGACAAAGTTAGAAATGACAGGGGCAATGGCTCCGTGCACCACAGGGTAAGCAGCATGCCGAATAGACTTAACCTAAAAGTCATCCTTCTTCTGGTTCAGATTCATCTTTTTTTAAAGCTGCTGATGTTTTTCTCTCACCAGTTAAATGTGGAAAAATGAACAAGTTCAGCCTGAACACATTCACTGCTTTGATGAAATGAAGCAAATACATTTAGGAAGACGTTAACATAAGCATCTAATACCAGTAGATCATCTTGGATGTCACATTATTCATATGATAAATTTCAGATTAAATTTATACGTATTTCAGATTAGTGGATTGTTTTACCTCACCCACACCGATGTGTTTTTTAACCCAGCAGGAAATACGTCTGAGTGCTGACTAAACTCCACTAAACTCACAATATTTATTCATAACAGACCAATATTTATCCCAGGAATTAGACTGAGCCCCAAACAGAGCTAATGTTAGCGTGATTATAGGATTCAACAGATGTCAGCGACAGAGTATTAAATGAATGCCAAACGAAGACGCACTGACATGATAATATTTTATTGCCCGCCACCAAAAGGGAGATTTTGCCTGTTTGTGTGTTCACTTCTGTCTATTAGCAAAATATCTCATGGAACAGAGAAAACTCAGAAAACAATCACTGTATGGCAGTCCTATGCAAGATAACTGCCACAGATAATTGACATTAGCAAACACAAAAATGGCTGTAAGTCAAACTAAAATTGGTATGGTAGTGGCTGAGAGTCATTAATCCTGCAAAATCTTGCAATATTGCTATTTTGTATTTTCAATTTTTGACCAAATCATCTATATCTCTGTGCTTTTTCAACACACATGAGATGATCTTGGTTTCAAACTCTGGTAGGAAAGCCGGAGGGTGATGTGCATTTCTTCCTTTAAGTAATGCTGGTATGAATTAATGAAGTGTGTGATGGATGTGAGAGCTGCACCAGATCCAAGACGGTTAGCAGTGTTTTATCCTACAACATTGGCCTCTGGCTGGGAGCAGCATATGTGACTCTCCATCCAGACCTCCAACAAAACGCCAGGAAGAAGGAACCTCTACCGAGAACAAATATGGCTGGGATGGATAGGCTGGATGTGCCGTAGAACACTGTGGATTAAAAATGGATAAAAATGGATCGCACAAAAAGCCTGACCTGCTTTAGCTTTTTTAGAAACAAAACACGCAGGACCTGCTTTACATCTTTCCATGAGAGAACGTTCGGCTTACAGCAGATTACGGGAATCATCACATGGAAGTGGTGCACAAAGCACCGCCGGCCATTTACCGGACTTTAAGCTCGAGTCATGTTCTGTACCAAAAACTGCCAGCTGGATCTGATGATGGCCCATAGCGTCAGTGCAACGCTACAAGCTCTCGGACCCATAAGCTCTTCCAGGTTACGTTTTAATGTTTAGAGTCTGTCCTCATGGTTATTAACATTACTGGCGTTTATTAGACCGAGCAAAACAGTAGATCCCAGCAGCCTCGCTGACAGCAAGCAGGACGGGTCAGGTGCCAAACACAGGAAGTGTGAAGGTGGAGTCGAGCCAAGTGGTCCTCGGCTCAGAGAGAGAAAACTGAGGAGGGGGACTGTGGATACCTCAATACGCCAACGAGCCATCTGCTAGAGGCAGCTTTTTATTTCAGTAATTATTCCAAATACCAGATAAAAATAATGCACGTCCTAATCTCAGTCTCAGAGCCACAGCAGACAAAATTCATCAATAACTTTGCCATATTCAGTCAGCCTGCAGAACGAAGAAGTCTCTCTTTGGCTGAGAAAATAGTTTAATCAGAATGTATGT